GATTTTCACAAAGGGGGGGGGGGTTTAAAAATTTTCCGCTCCTTAGGGGGGCGGCAGCTTCAAAAAGGTTGAGAATCACTGGTATAGACAAATTCCCATCACATCTGCAAGATATATCTTTGATGTTTTGACATTTACATGTTAATGATGTCACCATTTCTATTTCACAGACACATATCTGCCACACACAAACACACTTTCACTTACTTGGCTTCTTCTAACTCTTCTGTGCGCTGAATGGCATCTGTTTCATATTTGGTCCTCCACTGAGCAACTTCACTATTAGCCTTAGACAATGCCCGCTGAAGCTCACCCTTGGCTTCCTGCTCCTCTTCAAACTGCTCCCGGAGCAAATCACAGTCATGGCGAGCAGACTGCAAGCCATGTGCCAGTGCATTCTTGGCCTGACATAAGAATTCAATAGCAATAATTTTCAGAATGATACCTTAATCAAAATACTGTTTTACTTTCTATGCTTTACCTTATGTCTATGTTATTTTATCTATTTACTTATTATGCCTGAAATCTATTTTATAGTGTTTTATTTGCTGCATTGACAAAATTGCTGAAGAGGGGATGTCAGTGCAAAATGTAAAACAAATATATGGTGTTATAACTCTCATGGATCATAGTCCATTCCATATAAGAAGCTATCTAATACCTAACTTACAAAGCAGTTCCTTCTTCATTAATTCTCTAAGCATTTATTTATTTATTTATTTATTTATTTATTTATCCACCCACCCATCTCAAATTCATGACTCTGGGCAGCTAACAACAGTTAAAAACATCATAAAACACATAACTATAAAAACAACACACATAATCAGCAGCCAGGATAAACCCGAACCACCCCCAATAAATCAACAGAGCCGCTGCACAGGCTCTGCCACCCATCTGTATCCCCAAGCCTTGAAGGCCATGAGAAAGGCCATCAGGACCAAGCTCATGTCAAAGAGAGGGTGCTGCAACAGAAAAGGCTCCCTTCCCAGGCCCCGCCAGATGGCATTCCTAATAGACAGGACCCAGAATATATCTCTCCTGCCAGACCTAATCCTAATGGGACGAGTGGCCATAGTTGGGGAAGAGGCAGTCTCTCAGATAACCCAGCCCCATGCCATATTAAATTATGCAGAGTAAATACCAGAGTATTTAGTTATACTAGGGTAAATTATGTTATTTTCTATTAGAAAAAAATAAACACTCAAAAAGTTAGAGCATGCCACTAAGACATATGAACATAAGCAGAATTCAGGTTTAGTAAGACATCATAGCCAAGAGTCCCCCATTGGGGGGAGATGGGCGGGGGAGAAATTGAATAAATAAATAAATAAACAAACAAACAAACAAACAATTTTAAAAAGTTTTTAAGCCTCATTAGGGCTTCTCAAATAAGAACATTGGGGATTCCATTCATTTGTTCATGGGGAAGCTGGTAAGAACATGCAAATCCAATTCTTTTCAAGTCTGTAGTGACATTATCTCATAAAAAATAAGGATTCAATTATTCACAACAGTAATGGAGCACCAAAGGATGGGGTTCAGATCCATGCAATATATGGACAAATTCCACACCTTTACTTCTTCCTCAAGCTGCCTTTTCAACTCTTCAATCTGCTGTGTGAAGGCTTGTTTGCCTCTTGTGAGTTGAGAAATCAATGCGTCTTTTTCCTCTACTTGGCGGGACAGTTCACCTAATGAAAGACATTTGCTTATAATGATTGATTGATTGATTTTTAAAAATAATTTGTTTTATAGTGGTCACAAATAACAAGAATGTCTAAACCTAGCTGCTGCACATTTATTTGACAGCAAGTCCTCTTGAAATTAGTAGGATTTATTTTCAAACAGGTGTAGAAACAGGTGGGGAGCTAGTTTGGTGTGGTGATTAAAGACACTAGGCTAGAAATTGGGCAACCGTGAGTTCTAGCCCTGCCTTAGGCATGAAGCCAACTGGGTGACTTTCAGCCACTCACTCTCAGCCCTAGGAAGAGGGCAAGGGCAAACCATTCCTGAAAAATTTGGGCAAGAAAACTGCACAAACTTGTTTAGGCAATCACCATGAGTCAAAAAGGAAGGAAGGAAGGAAGGAAGGAAGGAAGGAAGGAAGGAAGGAAGGAAGGAAGGAAGGAAGGAAGGAAGGAAGGAAGGAAGGAAGGAAGGAAGGAAGGAGTTTTAAATTCACACACTTGAATCAGGAGGATTCAAGTGTATTATAAATGCAATAATAAGGTCTTTAATGGCTAAACATTACAAAATAACATAATTTGCTCCTCTATATTACCTGTTTCTGTCTGCAAACGTGCTCTTTGAGCACTGAGGTCATTAATTGTGCGCACATGTTCTTCCTCCTTTGTTTTAATCTCACTGAGCTGGTCTTCTAATGTACGGCTTATCTTCTCAAGATTTGCCTAAATGTAAAATGTCAAAAATAGAAAAAAAAATGGAAAGTGGCCTTTCATATATCAAGCACATGGTTCTCCATAGAGACTTTTAGCATTTCTTTAGAGATAAAATAGACAGCTCCCAATGTCTTTTGTCTTTCTCTGATGCTAGCAGTGTTACACTAGAATTAAAAAGGAAATATCAGACAGGGGAGGATGTAGGAAATGAATTTACATGATAAATCACAACAGTACTAAAATAGTTATTTCTGTTTTATAATATTGCTAGATCAACTTTTGTCCTTTAGAGTTCAACAGTATGCCAAGGATATAGTACCAGAATTTGCTTCAGAAGGATAGTTAATCACAAAGCAATTTTTAAAAATCATGTCCTCATTTTTAAAAATCATGGCCATCACCTTAAAACCAACAGTGAGAAGAAATGTCTTCAGAGTCCATCACTGGGGCGACATGTTCCTATGCCTTTCATTCAGCCCATCACACATTACAAAGTAGAAATCATGTTTGGCCCAGAATATTATGCAGATAAGTGTATGATCTGTTGTAAGCACTTCTTATAATCTTAAGTTATATGTAAAATATTTGTAAGTATCTTTAAAAATGATTTTAGAATTTGGAGATTCAATGTAAATATGAATTGCTTACTTATTGTACCGTATTTTTATATATGCATATGCTTACGTAAGAAACGCCTAAGAATTATTGAAACTTGCTCTGCCCACTTTTTTAAATAAATCAAATGATGTGAATAATGTTCTGACTCTGTCCAACAAAATAGAAACATTGTCTACACTGCTAGAGCATACTTTAGCTTTAGAGACAGACTCCATATTGCTGGCAAGATCATCAATCTCCATCTTCAGTTCACTCTTCTCCTTCTCCAGCTTCTGCTTCACACGCTGCAGGTTATCAATTTGTTCCCCAAGTTCAGCTGCACTGTCTGCGTGCTTCTTGCGGAGGGCGGCTGCAGT